TGAAACAATGAACATTCTGCAGTCAGTCACATTAATAGACTTGCCAGGTCACACTCTTGGAAGCAGAGCAGGTCTCGGATTCCTGTACTACTCTCAGGCCCACGAGTCACCTCTTCAAGGAATCTGATTAACCCTACATGAAGAAGAGAAAGCCAAGCATGGGAATACAGAGTTTGGGAACATTTTTCTCCATACATTTTGTCTCCCTCTTTAGCCTGGCTAGCAATGCCATAAAGAGAGGGAACGCTATCTGACTGCACCCATGTTCATTCATGCTTCTCATTGGCAGAAAGCTTCATGCCGCTACTTCATAGAGGATGGCAATCCATCTGCTTTGTTCCGCTGAACTCCAACAATCACACTGCACTGCATTGCTCTGCAAATAAATGGCATGACTTAATTGCTCACAGCTCAAAGCACACTTTTCCAGTAAGCCCCTGGGCTACCCAAGCTTTCCCTGTAGAGAACCGAGGCCAAGGCGCTGACACATTCTGTTTCCTTCCCTTCATTTCTCACACAGTAAATCTGGACAACTAATCAACTCTGGCTTCTAAACTTCAGTCATTCTTTATACTTACGAAGTTTCAACCTAGATAACAGAAATCCCACCACCCACGTCCACCACCCACTGCCAATACCCCATGTCATCTTACAAAAAGCTCAGGAATAACTGGATAGAAAAGAGCTTTATTGGTAATGAAACAAGTTTAGTTGGGAAGGATGTCTTACCAGCAGGGCTGGGAAAGAGTTTCAAAGAGAGGGAGGAGGGTTTTATGCCCAGCAGAGATAGAGTGATGTGACAGTTTATATGTGTTCTGGGTTTCCCGGAAACTCATACATATTCATGAGGGGTGATTGTAAGTGAACAAGAAATATACATTGCATGTACAGAAAATGGCGAAACAACATTATTAGGGTGATGAAGATCAAAGAGGCTAGAAATTCACATGGTTGCACAGTCTCCACCTGGTATTGTTTGTCCTGGGATCCTTGTCAGCACAAAATCTCTTGTCAGGTTCACAGATGTCACTAGAAAGCAACCGGGCAACTTGTCCCAGGGAACATTGTCAACCCCTGCAAACTACAAGTTTCAGGCTAGTTTGTTTCAACTTTTCCAAACCCCAAAGGGTCCTTCCAAGTGTTTTGAGGCAAATAGAAGGTTTAAAGTTGCAGAAATCTTTGACACCTATGTGGCAGGCAGCTATGAGGGACCCTGGTAATTATGTTGGGGCAAAGTCTGGAACCTAAACCAGCCCAGAGGCATAAAGGTCTTTGGGACAAAAGAAACTGTCAGGAGACTGGAGAGCTTTTGTGATTTAAAATTCCAGGCAAGAGCTAGAATAGAGAGGCACCAGGAATACAGACTATGATTCTATTTAAAAAAGTATCAACTTTGTCTTGTTACTTGAATCAGTATACAAGTTGACTGCTTCTTTGGAAGTGGTAGTTCTCAGTTTACTATTTCTTACTATATCAGCTCAACATTCTCTAAGTACCTAAAAATAAATGGTTAGACTATGAATGGAAAAAATGTTCTGCTTCATCAGGAATAATATGTAATAGGATATTGATATTTTAACAATAAAATGCATGCATATATATAAAATGGTAAAAAATTTTTAAAAAATAAGGAGAATTTTGAAAGTCAGTAATAAAAATCAAAGAGCTACATATGAAAGACACCCTCTAGGATTGTTAGCTGAACCAGAGCAGACCAAAAGTGATGGTATAATCTATTCAAACTCTTAAATAAAAGACCTCCAGCAAGGAGAGTAATTATTTTTCAGAGTTGAGGAAGTGATAAGGAGCTAGTATGAGCCAAAGAATAGTTAAAGGAATTTATCTGCACTAACCCCGCAGGGTAAAGAATGTGAGACATCTTTGGAATGAAAAACAGCCTCATCTAGAAGCAATAAGATACCACACGGGGTAAAGACCATTTATAGAGGTCTGAGGTGAGGTAGTATCTCATTGTCATTCTTCTTTTGATTTGCATTTACGTATTAAGTGGTGATGAGTATTATTTTTTTGTTTCTGTTTACCTTCTTTGGAGGTATTCCCCCCACACACACACACTTTTTTTTAAATGTAGGAGTACTGCTATTTATTCACCCACTGATCAGCTGATTGAATTGGGCATGAACTCCACCTTACTTTTTTTTCATTTTTTATATAATTTTATTTATTGAATAACCATGAGAGCAGTTACAAAGCTTTCGGGTTTGTCTCGGGTCATACAATGAAACACCCGTACCTTTACCAGTGCCCATTCTCCACCAAAAACCCAAGTATCCCCCCATCCCACACCCTCCCCCTACCTGTGGGGCAGATGATTTCCACATTACTCTCTCTCTCTACTTTCATCACATTCAATATTTTGACACCTCACCCACCATTATTACTTGGGATTTTACCCCAACACTCAGATCTGCTGAAAAGGCAACAGTAGACAATTTGTTTTCTATTGCTGGTTAAGAATAACATATGATGTCGCGTGGCTGCAGTAGTGGCTGTGCAAAATTTAAACACTTAAATCTGGAGGGATTTCTCCCAAAACCTGCTGGGTTCTGAGATTTGTTCCTGAGTTTCTGGGATCATGGCCGTTAAGCAGCTTGATCAGGAGCCAGAGAGGCTGGTCGTGGGTGATGACTTGGGGTCTCATTGGGGTGGGGAGGAAAGGGCTGGCTCCACCCCCATCCTGTGAGGCCCCACGTGTCTCGTCACTGAGGACCCAAACCTGACTGTTCAATGGCCTCTGGAAGATGACAGTCACCGAGCCGCCTAGGGGGAGCAGGTGGAGGGACAGCACCCTTATCACCCTGGGGTGGCCTGGCAACAGTAACCTACTGCGGATCCGGACGCATTTCTGCCAAAACCCGCTGGGTTTCAAGATTTGTTTCTGAGTCTCTGGGATCAAGGCCGTTAAGTAGCTTGATCAGGAGCCAGAGAGGCTATTCATGGGCGGCGACTCGAGGTCTCGTTGGGGTAGGGAGGAAAGAGCCACTCCACCACCATCCCGTGAGGCCCTGCATGTCTCGTCACTGCGGGGCCAAACCTGATTGCTCTGGAGAATGGCGGTCACTGGGTTGCCAGGAGGAACAGGCCAAGGCATGAAACCTATTCCCACCTGTCCCCCCACACACACTTTTAATGAGATTGTTTATTGCTTTTTGGTTTGTTTTGTTATTGAAGCTTATGATTTTTAAATATAATTTTGATATTAGTTATTTGTTCTATGTGTGATGGCAAGTAATTTAATTCTTCCTTCAGTGGTATTGCAGGCGGAAGAAATAGTATCAGTGTAAGATGTTTGTTTTGCCAGGAAAGTGGCCCCAGTTCCATCTTGGCACTACATATAATTTCCCCAAGCATAGTCAGGGGTCACACCTAAATATAAAGCAAGCCAAGACTATTACTGAGCACCAATGGGTATGGCCCAAAGAACCGAAAAAAGCCCAAACAATGCAATTTTTCTTTTTTATTAGCAAGACACCATGAGGTACAGTTGTAGACTTACAAACTTTTGTGTTTGTGTTTCAGTTATACAATGATCAAGTACCCATCCCTCCACCAGTGCCCATTCTCCACCACCAATAAACCCAGTGCCCTCCCACGCCTAAGCCCCTCCCACCCCTCACCACTTCTATGGCAGGGCATTCCCTTTTGCTCTCTCTTTCCTTTAGGGTGTTGTGGTTTGCAATAGAGCTATTGAGTATCCATCCTGTTCAGTCCTTAGTCTACTTTCCGCACATATCTCTCATCCCAAGTGAGTCCTTCAAACATCCTTTACTTGGTGTTCCCTTCTCTATCTGAGCTGCGTTTTCCCCAAGCATGTGCTGCTGGCTTCCAAGCTGTGGAGCAGACCTCCTGTTACTTATCTCAACTATTCTTGGGTGTTCATCTCCCATTCTGTTATTTTATATTCCCCAGATGAGTGCTGTCTTTCTATGTCTGTCCCTCTCTTTCTGACTCATTTCTCTTAGCATGATACTTTCCATGTAGAACCACTTGTTTGCAAATTACATGACTTCATCCTTTCTGACTGCTGCATAGTATTCCATTGTGTAGATGTACCAAAGTTTCTTTAACCAGTTATCTATTCTCGGGCACTCTGGTTTTTTCCAGATTTTGGTTATTGTGAACAGTGCAGCAATGAACATACAACTGCAGATGTCATTTCAACTATACTTTTTTTTTGCCTCTCTGGGATATACTCCCAGGAGTGGTATTTCTGGGTCAAATGGGAGCTCAACTTGTAATTTTTTTGAGAATCATACATTTTGTTTTCTAAAAAGGCTGAACCAGTCAGCATTCCCACCAGCAGTGAAAGAGGGTCCCTTTCTCGCCACATCCATGCCAACACAGGTTGCTTTTGTTCTTTTGGTTGTGGACCAGTCTCTGTGGTGTGAGATGATATATTATTGTTGTTTTGATCTACATCTCCCTGATGATTAGTGAAGTAGAGCATTTTCTCATGTGCCTTTTAGCCATTCGGATTTCTTCTTTCAGAAAGTTTCTGTTCATTTCATCACCCCATTTTTTGATGGGGTTGGACAAACAATGCAATTTTCATGTAGTGTTATGCCAAACTGCCTTAAATTTTTTCTAGGATAAAATTTTTCCTAATTCAGTTAATGGCCCTTATAATCATTTCTATCTTTTTTGTCCCTCACATTTCTAAAATTCATAGCTAGCATGAAAACAAACATAGTTTAAATACCTTACTTAGAACCTTCTTTATTCCCTTACTCAGAGTTATCATAATGATAAAAAAATAATATATTTAATATTGATTGAATGTTTATGGTCCATAAACTAAAAATAGTTAAAAACACACAAAACTTTAAAAGGGGGTAATAATATTTATATTAATTGGGTCAAAAGGAGCTAGAAATCCTTCACTGAATGGAGAGAAAGAACATGAAACTTTCAAGAAACTGTTAGAATTTTCAAGACAGCAATACATCTTTGAAAATAACAGTCATACACAGTCATACACATTAGGTTAGATTCCTTTTTTTATTAATTGCAACACAGCAAAAAAAAAAAAGGAAAATGTGTTCTTTTTTTGAATAAGTTCTGGATCTTCAGATTTTCTTTTTCATGTTCTCAGGATAGACTAAAAAAAAAAAAGGACAAATATAAGTACTGCGAAAGGGCACATGATTTTCAAATCTATTTGAGTGCCAAGTTGCTTAGATAGCCTTTCTGTAATTGCACCAGTAAAGTTAATTAAAGCCTTCTCTACATGCATGGTTGCTGAATTCTTCATTCGACTAAGAGGATAAACCATAATATTATTAAATCCTCTCTTCATCACCGATACATGTCATCAGATTCCTCTGGTTTCAAAGCCAAATATTTTCAGCGTCATCTCTCAGAGTCATTTTACTAACACCTACTTCTTGTTACCATGAAAAAGAGAAATTCTTCTCAGGCTCAGCATGTTGATGCATTGAAAAGGTTGTAACGGATTAGTCAATACAAAAGTTTGTATAAGGTTTATATTCTCTAATAAAAAGAATATGTTGTTGAGATTTAAAATTGAGTTTCACATAAATTCAGTCATCTGAAATCATTGCAATTAACTGTTTTCTGCAAACTGCAAAAAAAAACCAAGAACATCCAGATGATCCAGCCTAATGCCTAAAGTCTCCCACTGCTGAACCACTGCTTGGCTGAATCACTGTAGAATATGTAATATTATGTTAGAACAGAACAGGGCAAATGGTAAGTTGGCAAATAGTAAGTTGATCACTGCTATTTCAATAATAATTTAATATAATTTAAATATATGTTTATATGCTCATATATATTTATACATGAATATTAATTTTGAAATGTGGTTCCTTCTCTCACTAGCTGGGTAGTCCTTGGGTAATTTACTAACCTAATCATTAATCTGTACTTTTAATTTTTTCTCATAAAATTGAAACATTAGTAGTCAACTTACACAACTATTGGACAATTAAGTTTATATGTGTGTGTGTGTGTGTGTCTGTCTATCTGTCTCTTTGTCTCTCTGTGTCTGTGTGTGTAGCGAGAGAGAGAGAGAGAGAGCTTAAAACTTTCCTCTGTTTGCAAATGGTCAGTTGAAAATTGCTATTTTAATAATAATTCCATATTAGTTAAATATCTGTGCATATATACATTTATATACCCATAGTATAGTTACCTGAGATGCTTGTGATTGTGCTGGTTAGGCTAAGGCTGCTTGACTTGAAGCAATGAGTTTTGGACCCTGAATACAAAAAAATAACAGAAATGTGGAAATATTAGCATTACAATTAAAAAATAAATATTTACATATAGTCATTAATGATTGTGAAATAATTGTATACATATTTTTTCATTCCAATTTAGTTTGGGAGTCTCCAGCTCAAAGTTTAATGCCAACAGAATTACAACGTTATTGTAATCTCCTAAAGGGAAATATCAAATGATTTAGAAATTTAATTGCAAATTTACTTTCCCACCAATTTATGAAATCAAGACTCAAACTCAACCAATTACATTTTTCATTTTTCATTCACGTGCTTAAATACGCCATGGTTTTGGGTCAATGATACTGATGCTAAAAGATTTTAGGCCTGATAGCAGTTTATAACAATATTTATAAACATCATAACCTTGGAAAAGGAAAAAATATTTTAAATATTTAATAATAACTCCAGATTTTCAAAGGCATTTAAGTTATTTTTGAGATTATTTTATGTAAATAAAGGTTCCTATCCCACGTGTATGGACTGTATCCTTCAGATACAGCAATTCCAGGTCCTAGCCTGGTCGAGTGCAACAATAAAGAAAACTAGCTATATTCAGATGAAGATAACTCCAGTACCTCTGCGGCAAAGCAAGCTTCTTTGTCATCAGCTGCACAGCACTTCTCCACAAAAGCTGCGAATTCTTCCATAATTGGTTTCAGCTTTTCATCAGTTGCCTTGGGTTTGTGTTTCAGGAGTTCAACGAGTGCACTACAATGAAATTGAAAGAATTAAATAAAACAGGAAAAGGGTTACTAACAGAAAGAAAAATGGAGACAGTAACACAGCAATACTATTGCTTAAAACAAAGATTTGGAGTCCAGCAACTCTGAGGTTGAGGCCCACAGTCATTCTCCTGCCACTGTATGCTTCAACATTCTCATTGGCACAATAAAGAAAAGAAAATTAGTCTTCCTAAAGTGATGGAAGGAGAAAATTAAATAATCAATATAAACTACCCAATATTTGCAGAGTTAATAAAACCCAGTGGATCAATAAATCGTTTTTTTTGCAGTAAGTCACTTGAAATAATCATTTCATTATATTTATATATTGATAAATTTATATATATCTCAGATTTTTAATGTTATTATCATGAACTTTTAATCTCTTGAAGAGATTAATTTGATCCTTAGAAACCCTGAACTACTTTGATCTCTACTAATAATTTCTAATCCAATAATCTGTATAATTGCTCTTTGAAACTTGCCTCTATTCAATGTTATTAGAAAGGAGGTCATAGGTAACACAATTATTCTAATTCATAGGAACTGGTGGTTTTCTTCCAGTGGTATATGATTAGAGAGCAGGAGAAAAGAGAGTTAGTGGGAGTACTACTCTTAAATATCTGTTTAGTACTAGAATGCAGCAAAGACATTATAAATCTTATGTTGCTAAATTTCATGCAATTCAAAACCCTATGAGAGCAATCAGAAGCTGAGGGTTAAAACTCGCATATCTAGAGATCCAAATTCCATTCTGTTATTAAAAGAAAAAAAGACATTCTACTGAATGAGAGAAACTTTTTCACCCTATCCATCTGACGAGAAATTAAAAATTCAACAACCCCCCCAAACAATCCTATCAAAAAAATCAAACAGCAAAATAAATATTTGACAGAAGTATAACAGCTTGAGGACTTGTCTTATGTGTGGGGTACCTTGAAAAACACTGAAAATAACCACTTGTGACTAAAAATAAATTCGCTTATAATTTCTGATAATTGTGTGTCTGAACAAATTCGTAACTTAAATGCTCAGTTTGCTGTTGTTTACTAAGACTTAAAATGTTATTCTGCTTTGGCCTTTATATGCGGATTATTCTGAATGATTTAGAGGCAAAATTAAATTTTTTTTAAGTTAGAAAACAAAAAATTAAGTTGGGATCTTGACCAACTTAAAGAGGTCAACTCCTAAATACTCTTTTCTAAGGAATGTGATTGTTTTATAAGCAGTTGCTCATTTCAAAATACAGTCCTCACTATCAAAGTCTAAACTCGTGAAATAACGAAACACTCCTCACGTTTGTTTCTTGAATTGTTTCTCAGAATCAGGAAGTGTGCAGACGTCTGCATGGAAGGTAAACATGTCAGCATTGAAGTCCTTGGGAACATATGTTTCATCAGCTTCCAGAGCAGAAAAGCATGGCCGTCTGTTCACCAGCGACTCAGAGCAGCATTTGGTAACTCTCTCGCTGACGGGAGTCTTGTCGTGCAACACACACAACCGGTTCAGGACCACAGACAGCTAAAGAGCAACAGAAGAGTAGAAACTCCAATGAAGCACAATTGGAAAGTTTTTCATGAATTCCTACTTTCTAACTAACAATAAAAATGTTTTTGTATTTTAACAATAAAAATGTTTTGTATTTTAACTAACAATAGTGAATTCAAGGTTGTTTGGAGGTAGTGATTTGCTACAAATAATAAGGGATACAATACTATTTTATCTTCTCCAGGGTTGGTCAGTGACTGAAATTCATTGACAAGGAAAACAAAAGCAAAATGAAGCAAAAGGGATTACGTTAATATAAGACTTTTTTGCACCATAAAAAGAAAAATCATTAAAATAAAAAGACATCCTACTGAATGGGAGAAAAGAGTTATGCTTATCCACCTGACAAAGGGCTAATATCCAAGGTATATTCATCATTATTTATTATCAAAGAGATGAAAATCACAATGATTACAGAGTTTCATCTCGCATCTATCAAAATGGTCTATATCCAAAAAAGACAGAAACAGTGTGGAGGACAAAAAAAAAAAAAACACCATTCTTCACTATTGTTGGAAATGTAAATTTGTTCAATTAAAAAATGTTTATGCACTCCCAATGTCGTAAGATATCATAACATTGGTAATAAACCATCTATTGTTCACAAAAAAAAGTTTATACTTCACCAAAATAAAAATAATAAATTATATATTTGAAACAAGCTTTGCCATACATATTTGTGTGGAGGGAAATTGTCTTATATTTATGCATTAAATAAAAGACCAAAGAGGAGCCAGAGCGATAGCATAGTGGGTATGGTGCTTGCCTTGAACGTGGCTGACCCAGGTTTGATCATCAGCATTCCACATAGTCCCCTGAGCACTGTCAGGAGTGATTCCTGAGCACAGAGCCAGGAGTAAACCCTGAGCATCATAGGATGTAGCCATTTACACCCCACCCACCAAAAAAAAAATGAAAGAAAAATAAATTTGAAAAAATTTTTTAAAAAAGGAAAAATTTTTTTTTTTGTAAATACCAGCTTCGAAAAACTAAATATCATGGAATTTTGTCAAAAATAATTGGGATCTTATCTAAATTTTCATTGTGATGGTCAGAATAGGATAGGTGAGCCAAGTTCTAGTTTCTACTGACTAGGTAGGTTGGCGTATGCATGTGTGGGCACGCTAGGGCACACACACACACACACACACACACACACACACACATACACACACGAGTCATCCCAGATTCTGAAATTTAGCATTTTCAATGTCAAAAAGAAAAAACTCATGATTATTAACTGTATACTTTTCTTTTAAGACTTACATAGTCTTCAGCACAGGGCAGTCTGTCTCCTTCAGCAAGTCCACAGCATTTGGTTCCTACTTTTCCTAGATTTCTGGAGACCTCTACAAGAGTTGAAGTTGACACTTGGGGCATTTTCTTGGTGTAACGAATTAAAAGCCTGCAACAAAATAATAACCCATGTGTTTTTTTCCAGGCAAGAAACCATCTTTAAAAGGTGAAGAAGAGAACACTTTGCCCAAATGAAAAAAAAAAAACAAGAGTGGATCAGAAAAATGTTGTCCTGAATAACTAGTTAAGACTAAATGTGAATTCAGCTATGGTGTAAAATCCTAGAAAAATGATTTACCTTATTATAATTCTGTGACAATATATTTATGAATTATCCATCTTTAATTCTACTGGCCTGTTTCAAGAGCCTGATTTTTTAAATTGCACTCACATACAGGCCTTTCCATCCCATCAACTATTCTGCCCTTCCTCCTTCAGTCTGTTTTGAAAAGTAGGATTTAAAATGTATACTGTATTTTATGATTAAAAGTTCTACAGTAGGTACTTAATTTTATTACAATTTTAAAAAGTAAAATTTTGATTTTTAAAAAATAGCCAGTAAATCGGCAGAGTGTGGCAAACTCCCCGTGGGTAACAATGATGGGTCTCATTCTCCTAATCCTGAAAGAGCCTTGAATATGGCACTTTTTAAAATCTCAGGGCTAGGATGAAGGAGACATTACTGGTGCCTGCTCGAGGCAATCGACGAACAGCAGGATGATCGTGATCGTGATCAAGCCGGTAAATAAAAATACTCACGCATTTTGGAAGCCATATTCCTTAAGGTGATCAAAAAGTTCACAGTTGCGTTTGACTATATTCTGAGGCTCATCTATAAGAGGTTTAAGTTCATCAAACTGAAAGATAAAAGAATTGAATTGTGTTTAGAGTATTTCACCTGAGGACCAGATGCAGCTTATTTTATGCTGAATAAATATTCTCCAGATAAAGTAAGTTACCTCTTCACTTCTATCCAAAGTCAAGCAAATATAGGTTTGATGCAAAAAAAAAATGCATCCAAACTACTTATTGGGTAAGATGTATAATATAAGTTGTTAAGAATCTTCAAGCTCCAGAGTACAAAGTTATTATTTGATCCTTGTCATTTGACTTAGTTTCTCCCATGCAACTTAATTTCCTATTTCCAAGTTTCAAAACTCTCACCTCTAAAATGGAATGACAATAGTACTGATCACAGAAAACTATTCTGGAAACCATAAGAACTAATGAAATTGTGCCTGACACATAGTAAAAGTTCAGTAAAAGATGGTTATATTGGATTGTTATTTTTAATCCATCTCTCTAGTTAGATCCTCAGATCTCTGAGATTTAAGATTTTACCATGATCTTTGGTATGTATGTGTGCAGTGTGGTTGTAGTTCCCATGCCTGGCATCTAATAGGTTATCAATAGAAGACAATCAGACTGTCATTTGTTCTAAAGTTTGGAAACCTATGTATATACCCAGGGTGCTAAATAATCTATACCATAATTTAAATCCAATTTAGCTATACTAACATGACTAGAAACCCATATTAACATAGCTGAGTATGCCAAGTATAGTCCCTAGGTTTCTTCAAAATGATCTAAAACTAGTCCAAATGAATAGATTCCACAATCTTCCTTTGAACTAAAGAAAAAAATATATAAATCCAAGGTGTTTGGTGTGTGTGTGTGTGTGTATGTGTGTGTGTGTGTGTCTGACAAATATTGGAATTACATGAACTCTTTTCTCTTTATATCTAAATTAAGACTTGTAATTAACACTTGTGTCTATTTTATCTTATGTTATCTCCAGGAGTATTAAAAAGACAAAAAGCAAAGCAAAATTTGTGCCTTTTGTTTTATTTCCCTCACTAGGAACTTCAGTCCATGGCCGAGTCCGGATCTCCTCATTACATGCTTTGCACCAGGGATTAAGCTCACAAACTCAGGCCTTGGTGCCTCCTTAAGCACTGAGTCAGCCTCTGAATCCTTCTCAAATAGTAGAACTGGACCAATCACTGATGCATGCGGAGCATCACAAATACCTTGAGCCCTTGAACTATCTACTGCGCCACTTAGTCAAGCCTTCATGAGATACAGGCCATAACGTATCAGATGCCGTTTTTTTTTTTTCCTAAACTATTCTAGGTTTTATTATCCATTTGATTACAGAACTATCATTATTTTTCTCATGATGTTTAAAGGCACAGAATTGAAATTGCCTCCAGCAAAGCTTTAAGTTACAGTTCACAACATTTTATAGTTCTATTGTTTTATGTTGCCCTTACTGGCGTGATCAAAATGCTTTTTTTTCCCTGCAAGAAACCTACCACTTTGGCATAGCACGCCGGTGGGTCACCGGTGGCGCAGCACTTCTCCAGGACGGCTTCATAGCCCTTAGCCAGGCGGAGCAGCATCACCACGGAGTATTCGGGGTGTCTTCTCGACAACTCATACAGGAACCTAAATCCAATAAATATAATGTAGATGTAGTTGGGCAAAAGCTAGAAAAATTACGTTCGCTTCAAAAATAACTCTTACACCATGAATATGACTAGACACCATGCACTATGAATTCGATAGACACCATGCAGTAAAGCTTAGTGGTAGAGTGTGAGGTTCAGTGCAAAGTACACACATTCGTCTGATTCTGGTTTCGGGAAAGAAAACACACACACACACACACACACACATTAAAATCCTGGCTTAGGGTTCAGAGAGATAGTACCGCTTGGAGGGCATTTGCCTTGCACCTGGCCGACCTGGGTTCAATCCCTGCTATCCCATGTGCCCCCCCCAAGCAGTGCCAGGAGTAATTCCGGAGCGGAGAGCCAGGAGTAACCCCTGAGCATCGCTGGGTGTCACCCAAAAGGCAAAGATTAAAAATAAATAAATAAAACACAGAAATAAAGGCATTAAAAAAAATAAATAAAATCCTGGCTCATTAAAACTATCAGAACCGTAATTTCCTCTTCTGTAGAATGGATATCATTATTATTATATCCATCCCATAGAACTGCACTGTATCACTGTCCTCCCATTGTTCATCGATTTGTTCCAGAGGGCATCAGTAATGTCTCACAACAAACTGTGAGAGTTGTTGTTACTGTTTTTGGCATATCGAATACATTATGGGTAGCTTGCCAGGCTTTGCCACGCAGATGAGATACTCTTGGTAGCTTGGCCAGGCTCTCCGAGAGGGGCGGAGGAATCAAACCCCAATCGGCCTCATGCAAGGCTTTACCCGCTGTGCTATCGCTCCAGCCCATCCATCCCATAAAGTAGATTATAAGAAACACATGGCATAATCTATGAAGAGTACACACAGCCTTATATAGATTAAATGTTTAATCAATGAAACCTGTTACTTATTTACTATGTATACTTTTTTGGATTTGTATTATATTTCAAAAACAATTGAAATTAAATAGATGATTCCTAAACTTTTATTGTTCTACTCTTTATGAATGAAATAAGTGAATTGAAGGGCACATAATCTCCGCCCCTCTCGGAGAGCCCGGCAAGCTACCGAGAGTATTCGATATGCCAGACACAGTAACAACAAAGTCTCCAATGGAGACGTTACTGGGCCCGCTCGAGCAAATCGACGATCAACGGGAGGGCCTTTACTTTACTTTACTTATAATCTCGGGAAATATTGTTTAGTATACTTTACACCATTATAATCCAACAATAAAAATGTAATTTATATTCACAATTAAGTGACTCTATGTAATCATTTTTTTTTATTTATTGCATTCTGCCTTGCCATGCTGATGGACTTCAAATGCAAAGCACCTAGTAGGCAGAGTCCATAGTTCACCGCATATGTTTTATGCTGTCAAATAGATATATACAGAGAAAATATATATTCACACATATGTAGTATAGTAAGTTCAAGAAGTACTTTTGAATGAGTAAATAATGATTATTGTATATATACACAAAACGTTTCTAGAGGTAGTTCCAGAAATATTCCTAAGGTATAAGAAAGAAAATAGAAGTAAACTATTAAATGGTCATTTATTATTTTATAATATTATCACTGATTAAGCTTTGTCATTGCATATACTATTTATAACAGATTATGAAGTTAATATTCCCTGCCCTCCTCCAGAGTTTAAAGGCTGGAGAGAAAAAGATAAAACAAACATTGTAGAAAACATGGAAATTGTAGCAAATCCAAGGGAAATTCAAGCATATCTCCTCAAATCCTGAAACAAATAAAAGCCATGAAAGGATGGCTTATCCACTTACGTGCCCAGGAAGACATCTTTTGCCTCTTGATAGTTTTTGCAAACTTCCTTATCTTCAACAAAGTCAGCTTCTATTGGGGACAGGTCAGCAGGCATGGCATCTCTCTCTATCTCAGCAATGCAATGGCCTTTTTCCAACAATGGCTTATCACAGCACTGTGCCAGTTTGCCGGAGATTGAGTCTTTATTGGCACACATGTAATTGCCGAGCTCCACCTAGAGCAATTAGGTGGAATTAGCTCACTGTTAACTGATGATTTGATTTCTCCTCAGATTTTAATCTCATGGCCAACATGATCATTTTACCATATTTCATTTCATTATCATCCCAGATATTTTGTCTTGGTTTTGTTTGGGGGCCACACCCTGGCTTACTCTTGGCTCTGCACTCAGGACTGTTGTGACTTAGAGGACCACATGTGGTGCCAGGGAGAAGTTGGGTCAACCACATGCAAGGGTCTCATCCATCTCCTTCCCAGAGCGAATGGCAAAATATTTTTTTTCTTTGCAAAAGGGGGATGTGAGCATTATGTGAAGCTTTTCAGTATTACAGAAAAAATAGCCACAATGAAAAAACAAATGACCACAGCTTTATGGTGAAATGCAGGTATTTCAAGATATGTTATTTGATGTCTTGCATTTCTCCCACTTGTTGTACAGACAACTAAAACAAAAAATAATAATAAAGTGTGAGAGTGAGAGTTTTTTTTTAAAGTTAATCAACATCATAGTTCCAAGGTCTCCTTATACATCACACTTAAATTTCCCAGGAAGTATCCTGAAGGATTAGGATTTCGATATTTAGTCATATTTTAATATTTGAGGAAAAGAGAAACTATACTAAACAGATGTGCATTTATTGCAGTTAATTAAGAAAGACTAGAGATGACTAGAAATTATTTCTGAAGATCTCTTCAGATACCAGCTATATAACTCCACCCCCATGATCCCCAAACTATTGCAGAAATCTGTCTTTGTAGATGTCCTACTTCAATGTGACTATTCTCAGTCAGAACGTGACTGAAAGGAATTACAAATTAGAAAGCATGTTTATTGGGTCATTTAGTCAGGAAGATAGGTTTAAAAAAATAGTACTCTGGAGTGGGAAAGAATTGAGTAGCTTAGGCTTTGAAGATAGTCCCAAATCACTCTCAGCTGTTATTAATTACACTAAGTAAAGTTATTCCACCGAATGAGCATACAAAGTACCAAAGAGTATACGAAGACTACTGACCCTGTCATCTGCACATTCAAGCAGGTCACCGTGGCAGCATTCTTTGTTGATCTTGGTGAGATCTGACACTATCTTGGAAATCTCTGCAAAGTCAGCGTTGGGGAATTTCTGACTTAGGAGAGCTACGGACCTAGAAAGAAAATTGTCAAGACATCATTAACCTACAATATTTTGGGAGAAAGTGCTAAAAAATGCAACTCTGGAGAAAATTTAGGACAAGATACACAGAAATAATATTTAAAGTCTTCTTGTTCTTATCTAAATGCTAGTTTTGAGCTAAATTTTTATTTCAAGGCAAACTGTTTCACTGTGACAGAAATGGGAGAGAATCAAAAGATTGCTGTATTCAGATGATGCATATGAAAGCACCATAAAAGTAAAAGTAAAGGCCCTCCCGTTGATCATCGATTTGCTCGAGCGGGCCCAGTAACGTCTCCATTGGAGACTTTGTTGTTACTGTGTCTGGCATATCGAATACTCTCAGTAGCTTGCCGGGCTCTCCAAGAGGGGCAGAGGAATCGAACTCGGGTTGGCCATGTTGGCTGCGTGCAAGGCAAACGCCCTACCCGCTAAATGTCATAAAACTTGTTATTTTTTAATCAAATAAAATACATTATTCCTGATTGCTAAAGGTTTTTGAAAAAAGAAATTTTATAGCTTCTCGATTCATTTCAGACTCTTAAATTTAATTTTTTTGAAAAACCAAAAACTTCTCTCCCCAAACCAATCATGCCTAATTTCATTATATTTTATTTCACATTGATGCTGATTTATTAATAAATTTATTTATATTTGGGTGGTGTTAATGGTAGAGAAGATGAGATAACTGGTGGGTTTAAGAGAGTGTGCAAACTATTATTTTTATTTATCACCTACTGACATTGATTCATTATTGATTAGGAAAAAGCCATGGAAAAGTGAGGTTTTCTGGGTTTTCTTATTTAAGGATTCTCCAAGAGTAAAATGAATAAGATAAAAACTAAAGGTCCAGGCAAAATTAACAGATTAAAAACATACTAGAGTCACAAGAAAGTCAGAGATGATTTTAGCAGCTGAATTTAATTACCAGACATAAGGGATAAGTAGATGCTATAAGGTAATGAGAGAATGATGAAGATAAATAAAAGATCTTAAAAATAATGGACCTTTAGAATAAGCTCCCTTCTCTTTCTAAATAAATAGGTGTCTCTGCCGCAATGTTGTAAACAAAAAATACTATACAAAATTCTTAACCTTCTTTAAAACAAAAATTTAAATAATGACAAATTTTCAGTGATGTTCTGATTTCACCTCTTAAATTTTCTACCTTTTAGTTTTCTACCTTTTATAATAAAAATATGTTTAAAATCTATAATAAAAACATGTTTGAGAAAACAGTGCACAAGGGGCTAGAGCGATAGCACAATGGGTAGGGCGTTTGCCTTGCACGCAGCCAACATGGTCGACCCGGGTTCTATTCCCAGCATCCCATATGGTCCCCCAAGCACCGCCAAGAGTAATTCCTGAGTGCTTGAGCCAGGGGTAACCCTTGAGCATCGCCGGGTATGACCCAAAAAAGCAAAAATAAATAAATAAATAAGAAAAAGAAAACAGTGCACAAGATGCCACATAAATATACAATTTTTCCAACAAGCCATCATCGTCAGGAATGGAAGATGTGTGTTGAAAGTAGGTAATGGACCAAACATGATAACCTCTCAGTATCTGCATTGCAAACCATAATGCCCAAAAGTAGAGAGAGAGTATGGGGAATACTGTCTGCCATGGAGGCAGGGGGAGGGTGGGAAAGGGGGGTTATACCAGGGATATTGGTGGTGAGGAAAGTGCACTGGTGGAGGGATGGGTGTTTGTTCATTGTGTGATTGTAACCCGAACATGAAAGCTTATAACCATCTCACGGTGATTCAATAAAATTTTTAAAAATTCAAAAAATAAACCATTATCACTTATATAATTAAAGAGACACAAACTAAATATACCATGCTTTGAAAGCTCTCTCTCCAAATTTTTCAATACCAGCACACTTGAATCTCTGTTTGGCAGCTGAAGTCATCATGTTTTCCTTCAGAACATCCATCTACAAAAAAAATAATAATAATTTTAGAAAAAATATTTTTAAAAAGTCTGTATGAAACACACCTCTATGTGTTCGCAGGTGACTAGGCCAATTTAAATTATAAAGAAATCATTTCTCCCCAATTTCCCAAATAATACTGGTAAGTAGTTTTTTTGCCATGTAGGAAGAGGAATGATCACTTTGTCCATAGTGTAAGGTTAAGAACCAGCATAGAGGCATTGCTAGGGAAAGGTCCCTAAATGGGCAAAGGAGAAATAGAAAAACTGACTTCTTATATTTGCATGTAATACATTTCAACCCTTCCCCCAATTCTCAAATCTCAAGAAAAGGAAATGCAGTACATAATACTCAAAGATGAATAAACAACCCAAACTTCTAAATTTAAATTTTTGCTTTTAATTCCCACCGCAACTTTAAAAAAAAGAAAAAAGAAAGAGAAAAGGAGAAGTCACTAAAAGATAAACCAGAAGTGAAACCGTATGTGGTTCAATTTTACAAATGCATTTCTCCATTCCACTATAGGAATCGGACCCCCAAAATTATGGTGGAGTACTTAGATATACACATAGTGATTCCCTCTATCAGGTTTACTCTAGCCAATCTTAGAAGGAGGAATAAAAGAAGTTGGAGGTCTTCAATGAAGAGAAAAGATCTTTGTAGGGGAATAAGAGAGAGGAAGGGCTTTTTGACCATGTAAACATATTTATCTCAGAAAGTTACTTTCCTTAAATCTATCCCTATGAGGTCCAAATCTGAGGATTGAGCCTATTTGGTTTGGGGGAGGTGAGAAGGACTACGCCACACCTGTAGAGCTCAGCTCAGGAATCATTCTCTGGGGACCACACATGATGCAGGGATTTGAATTGGGGTCTGCTGCTTAATCCCCATACTGTCTCTCCAGCTCTGAGGCTTGAAAGTAAATAAAAGTGGTGCTTTTATTATTTTAAGTAATACCTTTGGTATCAGACAGGCAGCTTTGTCAGCTGCTGAACAGCATTCTTTTATAGCTTCTTTGTACAGATGAGTATAGTAAAGGAGTTCTGGAGCATAAAAGTAAGGATGTCTTCTTGCAACTTCATATAAGTACCTAAATTTTGAAAAAGGAAAACAGACAATCATTCTTCTATAGCATGCAGTGTAAGAGGAATAATTCTAAGATTCACCCCACGTTCTCTACACTGCCTCCAGATCCTAGATGATTTACTAATTAAGCTCAATTTTACACACTATAACCTTACCTTGTCACTCTTTACATCAGTGTAAGAGTAAATGTATACATATATTTAAATATATAATACACTTGTATGCACAATTAAAAACATGCATACACTTGTAAGTGTATACTACTGACACAGTGTTATTGACTAAAACAAAATAAATTCTGAGAATAAATAGATTCCTTCATCATATTTTAATATAGACCAACCTCACATACTTATACAAAGCATAGCATTCTGCAATGTTTGTCTCCAAAAGTATGACCAAAATTTTATCATATAGAATTTTATAATATCAGATATTACTTCTTTGAAAAATGTCATGAATAGCAAAGCTACCAAATTCAATATTTAAAAAGTGTGTCCTTGTCATGGTCTTGACTTAAACTGTAATTTTTAATTTGGAAAATTCTGATCACTTACCTTCCTATAAACTCCTGCTCATTTGCCTGGAAGGCAGAGCACAAATCATCGGTCTGAGGCCTCACCATTGGAGGGAAACCTGGATTGTCATCTCTGTGTGAGGCAAAGCAATCAGCTCTCTCGGGCTCTTGTTTTTCACAGCAGTCAGCCAGCTCACCATACTTCTCGCGAAGAGATGCAATTGTGCACAATTTATCCCCGAAGAGAACAGGCTAAATGAAAGAGAACAAACTTCAAATTACAGGGCAAGACTATATTATTTGCTTTATACCCAAAGAAACAGGATAAAAATGGAATATACTGGAAAGCTGATTAGGAAATAATATAAAATCAACTTTGTTCTCAGGCATAGAGTTTCTCTTGTTTTGACAATTTATGCATAGTTTTCATAAAAATTAGAACCACACTATTATTCATGGTGGATAAGGTAGAAATGCAAGAAAAGATAGCAAATGACTATAAAGAGTAGACGGTAGTCCTAGTTTCAACTGAGCATAAAGGTTCATTATTTTTTTTATTACAATCATTATACCAAACACAATAACAACAAGTCTCATGATGGAGACGTTACTGGGCCCGCTCGAGCAAATCAATGAACAACAGGAGGACCGTGACTTCCGTGACAATCATTATGATAAAAAAAAAATCAAGAAAAATAATCTTATAAGCAGCAGTTTCATTCACATTAAGATCCAATATGTTCAGATTTTTTTTTATTTGATCTGTCCTCTTTTTAGAAGTCTAGCTTTTTCAAAGATACAATTCAAAATGTGAGGAGTAACAGAATTTATCATATGTTAAATGTTATTTCTGTAAAATATATATCCCCTCCATTCAAAAAGTTCTTGCTTAAAAACACATTTTATTATGTGGATCTTTTTCATTACCTTTAATGTTTATTATGAAAATAAGTTTAACTTAACGAAATTGAATTTATCAATTTTCAAAAATTTCATCATTTAAAATTTGTTCTGGGGCTGGAGCAATAGCACAGCGGGGAGAGCATTTGCCTTGCACATGGCTGACCCAGGTTCAATTCCCAGCATCCCATATGGTCCCCTGAACATTGCCAGAAGTAATTCCTGAGTGCAGAGTCAGGAGTAATCCCTGTGCATCTCTGGGTGTGACCCAAAGTGCAAAAAAATGAAAAATAAATAAAATTTGTTCTTAGAAATGTATTATTTTTTTGGTGAAAAATTACAGGTTCTGTCTTGACAGAGAGAAATAGGAGGAGAGATTTAAGTTGATAAACATTTTAAAAATCTCTTTATTCTTGAAAGATATATACAGATTGAGTGGTGAGAGAAACATAAACCTCTCTTTGGTGACCTGTCTGGAAAAACCAAAAGTTCACAGTCCTTCATAACAAATGAAGTTTCTTATATTTTAAATTTTATGGGATTCTATTGCTAGTTCTAAATTAAGGATGATATATTTATAGTAGTACTTTCGTGGCAAAATTAGCACAGGAATCAATTGAATGCATTCTGAAGATATAAACCATGTGTTCACTCTTAATTCCTAAAACTAATCAAACACAGGAGTACTCCAGGGGTGCGCTGACCTGGCCTGGCCTGTCCTGGCCTGCTCATGGAGCTCTGTGCCAGGGACTAAACTCAGTGCTCTCGCATGCCAGTCATTTGATCTACCACTTGAGCTATCTTCCTAACCCCCATGTTTCACATTAAAAAATGGACCTGAAGCAGATGTCCAGTTTTCATTTAAACACACTAACATTTATGCCATCTCAATAAAAATACGATGTTAAATTGGTGGGGATAGCTAGAATATGCCTATCATAGGGGGGGAAAAAACAATGGCTACACTCACTTGAGTATTACTTATAAATGAGATTTAAAACCAATTGAGTTTTGATTGAATCCCACTAAGATGGGATTCCCACAACCCCTTTGGAATATTCAGCTTTACTTAAAAGAGGTATAGAATCAGAATGTACTTACAAGTGACTTGTCACAGTTTGGAGCTGACTCATCAGCAACACATGTTTTTGCAAACTCATTTACTTCCTTCACTAATTTAATATGGTCTTCAAAAGGGCACTTCTGGAGATACTGAGAAAAGGCAATCAGCACTCTGAAACCAAGAACATAAAAAAATGTAGCAAAAAACAAATTGTAAGCTGGATATCAAGCTACATTGCAAATTATGTGTCTATGTGCATTTTATATCTTGTATCTTACTATTACCTGAGAGAGCATTCACACAAGCTATTATCTGAGACCTTATCAGCTATATATGGCTTTGCAGAAAGAGAATGTGCGTTCCTCTCATAATTAAATATCGGCTTTCAGTTCAATAGCTGCACACGTATAGAGGTGTACACAAGCAAGCAAAGTATGTTCTCGACAGATTTAATTATCAACATTAGAGATATGGGAAAATTCTCATATCTCACTATTTAAAACAAAAAGCAAAAGCCACACACAGTCCTCATTTAATCAGTCTATAGAATGATACTGACCTTCAGGGAATAAACTATTTTCTCATTTTTTATTGGGTAGGAAGTATTAAAATGATCTCAATTAAGAACAGATTTATTTATTGGTAAAGGAATTTACTAAATGAGCCACAAAAGGACAAAGTTAGTGGTTATTGGAAGGGAAGAGAGAAGTCAGTTCGTAAACCAGGTTAAAGGGGTCAATTGCATGGTAAGAGATAAAATTTACTTCGAGGGGTGAACATAATATAGTATGTACAGAGTTATAGTATTATAGATTTTTCTTATGGTATATACCTGAACTATATGTAATGTTATAGACTAATGCTATTTCATAGAAAAAAAATGAGTCCCAGAGCCACATCATCCAATATAGTAGCCATTAGCTGTATGTGACTATATACATATAAGTTAAAATTAGGTGCAGTTTAGAGCAAGGAGAGACAGAACAGTAGCTAATGTGCTTGTATAGGATTCAATCTCCAGCAATGCATATGGTCCCTTGAACCCTGCCAGGAATGATCTCTGAGCACAGTTCCAGGCGTAAGCCTTAAACACAGCTGGGTGTGACCCAAAAACCAATAAAAGAAAAAAATTAAGAAAATTAAGTACTGTTTCAATTTTTTTCCTCAGGTTTACTTGCCATATTTAAGGTACTCTATAGTCACATGTGTTTGGGCTACTATATTAGACTTACTAAAGTCGATGGTATTTATACATAGTATTTCTTCAGTAGTACTGTTCCTCTAGACTCTAATGACTGAAGAATATAGGAACTTTAGAACAATAAGAAATACTTTTAGAAGCATTAAATTGACTCTTTAATATTTTAACTTACAGTCCTTTGAAATTTTCTTCTCCCAAATCATTGAACCGATGAGCAATCTCACTTTTGTCTGGGGGGGGGAGGGGAAGCAAGAAAGATTTGTTTAAATTCAAAAGAAAACAACTGGCTATGATTTTATTTTTTTCTATTTCTCTGCATTTAAGTATTTATTTCCTTTAATGCAGTAGACTCTGATTCATACACAAAATGCTAACCTAAAGGTTATTTTTTCTGCAGTTAAACAGAAGTTATTAAATCACTGCTGAGACTATTTGTAAAACTCATTAAATATTTATAGCTTCATAATCAAACTTGGATATGATATAATGTTCTTATATATTGCTAATTACTGGGAGCACAGTCTAAAATTAAGAATATAAGTATGCTTTCTATTTATAACATTAATATCGGTTTTGTACTCTAAAAATCAAAGTATACTGAAAAAGGCTTTAGGAATTTTAAGTCATAAATTATATCTTCACCTACATCCTGTGAAGTTTAAGTCACTCTAAATTCCTTTATATGCAGAAGGATTTAGAACTACTAAACAATCTCACCATTTCTTTCACCTAGGATTTAAAAAATATATTAAACAGATTTACTGAGTCCACAAATACAAAATTCTATTAGAGTCTACAACAGGTGCTAATGGAAAACATACTTCTTTAAGGATACAGGATTTATTAAAAAAATATATTTACAACGAAAATAGAAGCAAAACAATAGAAAAATAGAATTCTTACGTGCATCTCGACGAAACACACCCCTGGAGTAAGCAGAGCTGAAGAGGAAGAGAAGGGAAATAAAGGTTACCCACTTCATTGTGCCAAAGGCTTGTGGGTTCCTAGGAGAGGAAAGGTAGAATGAATACAGAAAATCAGCTCTAATATAGTCCTTGAACCAATAATTATAGATTATTAACTAGACTCATCTCTGAATTTCATTGGCTCCCAACTGATTACAAAATTCAAAATATTCTTGCCCAAAGAGAGTGTTTGACTAAATCCCTTGCGTATGTTTGCCATCTGGAACTGGTTTATACACAAGACCTTATCAATTCATTAAAGTTTTGTAAATCCTTTCACATTTTACATAAGAGTCTAAATGATTTGTTCCTGTCATTCATTATTATTTTTCTTTATGATTTAATTCTTGAGCATTTTAGCTTTTAATATTTTCAAAACATTAGTCAACCAATGACAGCTTGCAAATAAGACATATTAAAGGTCTCTATCTTTAATAGGACATATTAAAGAATTACTCATTCAAGTATATTGTTAATCAATATGATGAAAAAACTGCACATTGCAAGTATATTGTTAATCAATAAGTATATTGAAAAAACTGCACATGTACACACACATTAGGTGATTCCATGTATTTTCATTGTTCTGATATTGTTCTGTCTGAAAAAGCTGATATGGACTTGGGTGCAAACTGAAAAAAAAAAGCCATGGGGCTGAGGATACAGTTCAGCAGTAGAGCACTTGCCTTGCATATATGAGACCCTGCGTTCAATTCCTGACAGGAAGGAAGGGCGTGGGGAATGAAAGGAAGGTGGTCGAGGGAGGGAGGGAAGGAGAGAGGGAGGGAGGGAGGGAAGGAGGGAGGGAGGGAGGGAGGGAGGAAAAAAGATGGAAGAGAAGTAGGAGGGCAAAAGAAAGGGATCAAGGAACAGAGAAAGGGAAAAAAGAAAGAAGGGAGGGAGGGAGGGAGGGAGGGAGGGAAGGAGGGAGGGAGAGAGGAAGAAAAGAGAAAGGAAAGTGAGAAGCAAAACTAAGGATAGAATTACCCAAGGCAGGGAGTAGAGTATGCGCCTCACATGTGTGAGGCACTACAGGCCTTGGGTTCGATCCAACGAAAATAATGCATAGTTTTTAATTTTTTAAATTTTTAATTTTTACCATTTTTGAGAAACAAGATTTACAATGTTATTAGTTATGCTTTTCATGTATATATTGTTCCAATACCACATCCATCACCACTTCTCTCCACCACTATCCCCAGGGTACCTCCCACCTACCCTGCATTCCCTGGTAAGCTCAGTTCTATAGACAAAATCTCCCATTGCAATGACTTTGGCCATTTGTTGGAAAACAATGGAAATTTTTAAATGAGCACAAGAAAGATATTGTCTTTTGTAGAAAGTTACAAAACTTCCATGGGAAAATAGTTTATCTAAGTTTTTTCACAAAGTTATTATAATACCTAAACATTTATGATGAAAAAATGGTAATTAGTCAAGCCATAATTAGTAATACCTCGTGTCTGGAAATCTGAGAGGGTCTTCTTGGAGATTTAATGCTTAAATGGAAAAAATTAATGGGAAAAATTTAATGGACATGAAGAATGAGGAGAAAAGCCACTCAGGCAGAAGAAACAGCAATGTTTGATTCAAGAAACAGGTTAAAAGAAACACAAAGTTTAAAGATGGTTTAAGAATGACGTGAAGTAAGATAACAGAATAAATCACTTTCTGTGTCATCTTGGTTGCCATACTTATTACTTCAATGATATAGTATGATTTATCTTTCAGAAGGACTACTCTGGCTGCAGTGTAGGAAAGAGACCAGAAAGAGTAAATATTGGAAAGGTAGGCAGGGGAATAATGCAATAGCTCTAGCAGCAAAGGTAAAATCTTCAGAACCCTCAATGATGTAAAATAGAAATAAATGGGCTGATTGAAGGCATAACGTAAGGGTGTACTGACGTTGTACACAAGCAAGATCTCTAAAAGCCACTTTCTAAGAACTCCTCTGGCCTCTTCCAATGCCCCAGAGGGCAAAATGTGTGTGCCCAAAAAAACCTGTCTTCCTTTCTTAGACATGATTTAGGGACCCTGACCCTAAAGTTTCTATCCAAATAGTATGAATGGTAGGGGACTGTGGGGAGGAAGAAGATAAGCAACAATGGTCGGAACTCAAAGCATGCACCGTGCTCAGGTTCTATCTCCAGCATCGGTAGTCCTCAACATTAAATGACCCAAGTAGCAAAACTGAGGACCCCCCAAAATAAATTAATTAAATCAATTTTAAAATAGCCAGAATCTTTCCTTGAGTCTGAGAAGTTAAAGATGGTTTAAGAATGACGTGGTTTAAGAATCACTTCCATAAACACATCTTTCACGCAGAGACCATGTCACTGATATATTTACTCCTAGTCCTGAGAAATGGCCAAATGGCAACTGAATGAAGAAAAGATGGAGAGAGCTAGAAGATAAGGACTGGAGCTTCCACGTGTACTCAAATAAAGCACTTGCATGATATATTATGAAGTCGGGATAAGCACTGACTCTCCTCAGTCCGAACCTCTAAGGAGATCAGGTTAGCAGAAATTGATGGATTGAAAATGAGTGGTAAGACAGCTGTGCAGCTGAAGAGATAGAATAGAGTGCTTGGCAGGGCACTTGCCTTGCACACGACAAATTGGATTCAACCCTCCTGCACCCCATATGGTCCCCTGATCCCCACCAGGAGTGATCCTTAAAATAAGAAATGGGAGTAAACTCTTAGTAACACTGTGTGTGGCCAAAAGGGAAATAGAGAAAGAAAGAGAAGAGTGATACAGAGAGAGAAAGAGAGAGAGAGAGAGAGACAGAGACAGAGACAGAGAGACAGAGACAGAGAGAGAGAGAGAGAAATAGATGTTATGACAATTTGCAGCTTTCTGCCTTATAGAATGTAATGACTATAGCATGAATCTCTGGTCTAATAAATACTGTGAAAATACTAGATCTGTGCAGGTAGGTCATTTAGCATGTTTGATTTTCTTCACATGTTTGATATTTCAGGCATTCTTGAGACAACAAAAAGATGTCAAATTCAGATAGGGTCAAGAGGTGAGAAAGAAATCATAAGCTCAGGAAAGTATTTGTGAGTCATCAATCAGTACAAGATTCTGATATCTGGCGAGGGAGTAATCATGAGATAAGGAGAGAACCATTATGGAGTAAGAAAAATCAGAGATGTGTCCAGTAGAAGAAGATGAGTGGAATCAAGACAGTACTATTCTAGGGCATGTAAGGGAAAGGGATATTTTAGGTAGAGTTATAGACATTTCTGAAAGAAATTGTGGGTGAGAATTGAAAATACACCCATTGCACGGGAATTTCCAATGTTCTAGTAGCTATTTTGACAGAATGATGGGCTAAACCAGATTGGACTGGTGAGAGAATTGAAGAGGAGTTGTAGAATAAATAAATGCAGTGTAGGAAACTCCTTTAAGTAATTTGAAAAGAAAGGGGCAACTGAAGAGGGCTGAGGAACAATAAAAAGTTTTACGTGCATGCATTTAGAAGCCAATGGATTTCTCTGACTATTTTATTTATGAAGTAAGAGTTGCTACAGTTGAACACTCAAGGGAAACAGAAAAAAGCTGAAGTAATCATTAAAAATGAAGATGTGTGATGAACAGAAGAATTTACTGCCTTGGATGAAATTAAAAAGTAAGAAATCTGAGTTTAAAGTGGTAGTATAGAGGTTAGTATGCTTTTTTTTTTTTTGCACAGGGCCAACCTGTTTTGACCTCCAGGACCCCACGGGGTCTTCTAACAATGTCTCTTAGTACAAAGCCAGTAGTAAGTCATCCTAAGCACAGCCAGTTTTTCCTGCTCCAATCCCAAAAATAAGAAATCTGCCTGTGGCATTTATTTCCATCTTGGACCCCTCACAGAGCTTATGATAATCCATCTCTCCCATTGCACTGTTTTGTAGAATTCTAGCATACATTTGCCTTCGCCCTGCCCCATTACTCTTCTTTCAGGTGTCTTAAGTGCCCAACTAGAACCTTCTTTCTAAGTACTTCCTCTCTGTTACACACTCGATGTCAAAATGCTTATTTCCTGATTTGTGGACCCCTTTTCATAGTTGTTAAGATCAACAATTTTAATACACTAACTGTATGAATCCCAAGATAGCCTCCTTATGCATCCCATAGTATTAATATGCTCAAAATTCTATTTCTTCCTCAAAACCATACCTAGAAATATATCACTGTATCACTGTCATCCTGCTGTTCATCGATTGTCTCGAGCAGGCCCCAGTAACGTCTCCTTCATCCTAGCTCTGAGATTTTAAACAGTGCCACATTTGAGGCTCTTTCAGGGCCAGGAAAATGAGACCCATCATTGTTACTGGTTTTTGGCATATTGAATATGCCACAGGGAGTTTGCCAGACTCTGCCATGTGGGCAGGATACTTTTGGTAGCCTGCCAGTTTCTCCAGAGTAAGAACTAGAAAATAAGATATTGCGCGGCTGCAAATGTGGCCGCGCGCTTCCGGGAGCAGGGTTTTATAGTCTATGGGTCTTGGCTGTTGATGGGATTACACGGTGCTGGGGGCAGTTGGTAGGTGTAACGCCTACATACTGGAAGATGGGGATCTGGGTGGAGGAGGCCCCAGTCCCAATCCGAGCAGGCTTGGAGATCTACGCCCCAGGTCCTGCACACCTGGGTTCCTCTGCCAGTTCCTTCATGCTGAGGCTCATCCAAACGTGTGTAGAGTGGTCTTAAGCATGGCTGTGGCTGGAACCGGAAGTCTTCAGCTAGAAATATAGGCATATTAGAATCTGAGGCAATGAGTTCACTGCCCTCCACAGTTCAATATGTTTCTCAGTCCAGTAGGGACACAAAATTATGTGACCCTGGCAAAAGCTGCTAAGACCTGACTTTGTTCATTTCTATTTAATTTTTAGTGAGACTTCTTTTGCAGAATCACTGAACTTATTGAATCTATTTCCTTGCAATAGAAACACTGCAGTTTATGTCCTACATCCTCAATATTATGGACATAAACTATGTATTCTGTTCTTTATATCTAACATGAGGTCAGCATATGCCTTGAGTATAGAAATCATCTATAACTTCCATCAACTCAGTTTAATTG